CACAATAAACAATAAATCAATTAATCGCACGATACATGAAAATTATCGACTTCATTTTCATTTATCAACTTCGTTGTTTCTTCATGTCTCTCTCTTTCTACTGGACACTAGATGACAAAGCTCAACTCCGGTGCTCTTCACTGATCCCTCCCTTTCTCGTTTCTCTTTAAAATCTGTTTTAACCATCCAAAATTGCATTTTTGGATCGTTAAAAGTAGCTAAGCTACGAGCTAAGCTAACAGGCCGACCTCAGGGAAAATACGTCCATCTTGTTGAAACTCGAAAATTCACAGTTGAAACCCGTGCCTTTGTCTAAAAAGTTGTCTGTAAAAAGAAGCTGAGAACTTGTTTACTGATTTTTTTATTAAAAGTTTTGTGTGACAAATGCTATGCTAAAGAGATCAAAACACACCGAGCGTCCGCCATTTTGAGAACAAAAAACAGGAACATCGTCACATCAAGGGGCCTCCCTCCCATTTTTCTTAAAGAGACACGCTGCTCGCTCCTTCACTATCAATCTTTCGGTTCAAACAGTCTTATACTCATAAAACGTACTACACACAAAAATAAACAAACATTTATTTTTAAATTTGACAATAATTACTAATTATTTTTACTAGTGATTTTTAAATGTTAGCCAAATGTTGCTTTGGCTGCAGATTAGCACCTGTATCCATGCACTCGGTAATCTGCATATTTCAGACACTCTACAGAGTAGTACACACACAGAGTCTTGATTAGAAGATTAATCTTTATTTTCTTTCGAACAAAACATTTTTGTTTTGTAACCAAAAGAAATACTACCCACAGACAGCTAAAGGCTGTCTAGATGCAGATAAGTTGGGACTTTTTGTTCTTCACTGGATGCTTATCAGAGGCCTGAGGAGGCTCTAATTAGATTCTACACGTATCAATCTTTTAAAGTAAGGACTATAATGACGCAAGGGACAAGCTGTCAAACTCTGAGCATAAAGGGCTACAAAGACATCAGGAAAATCTATATCCAACGAGGATGGCAGTTCAGGGAACACAACTGTACATATAAATTCATATGCACTAAAACTGCAAGCACCGTTGAACGCAAAGCAAATTGTCTGCTATAATTTACAATATGACAAACCTTCCAAACTTCACTTCTCCAGGGGATGCAGTAGGTTTGGCTTCAGCAGTAAGTGTGAGCAAAGCGTGATGAAATGACACATCTGCACTGCACAACATTTTAAATTTAGGACCCCTTCAGTCGTAGATGTCTATTCATTGATTACTTTCTGCAGGTTTTATTAAAATCCAATGAGCAATTCGTGAGATATTTTGGAGACACAAACACACACGTAGATGAACAAAAACATTATTATCCGCTTTTGCCTTTGGAGGCAAGTGATAAACAGAACACATATAACATTTTTAGTGATCTGCCTGTACATCTGCACTAAAACATAAAGCTGTCACAGTCTGAAGGGATCCAGTACTGGAATGGATGGCAAATATCTGATTGCAGCTACATCGCTCATTTTCTCCTAGTCTTTATGTTGTGATTATGCTCTAATGCAGCAGGGCCCACAGATCAATAACATAATTAGCCATAAAGCATATGCATTGCACTCATACATTATATGCCCGGCATCTCTTGGCATAGGTACTCAAAGGAATTACGGTATAAATAACTAGCAGCTATTTATTAAGCTAGAAGCAATGGCGGGGACTTGACATCCTAAAGTGTTTTTTTTTTTAATCCACTGTTGGATACAAGACACATTACAGAGGAAAATATCATTACAAGTCAAAGGATCAAGCTACAAACTGTATAAGCTGCTGACAGAGTTAAACACCCAGCATTCTTTGAAGACATGATCACTGCCTGTTCCCTTTCATGCCTGTGTTCTGGAGGACCTGAAGGCATTCCCAGGACAACCAAGAGACACAGTCTCTACAGCGTGTCCTGGGTCTTCTCCAGGGTCTCCTCCCAGTCAGACATGCCTGAAGCATCTCCGTAGGGAGGCACCCA